AAAACAGGCCATGGCCAGATTTGGCCCATGGGCCATAATTTGCTGACCCCTATTCCATATCATGATAACGTCTAAACTATGTGGGCATATCCCTTTATCAAAATGATAGATCTATAATATGGGCATTTCAGTGTGTACAATTGTACTTCAAAAATAGAGGACTGCAAAATAATAACAATAGCAATAATAACCAAGTTAGAGATGAAATAATAATGGTAGAATGTTGATAAATTTTGAAGCTGGGTGATGGGCATACGGTGTTTGGTTATATTATTCTGTTTCTTTTGTATATGTTTGCTATTTTCCACAATAAAAGTTTTTAAAAAGAGAAGAAAGACTTCCAGGATGTAGCTGAAGCAGTATTTAGAAGGAATGTTCTAGCTTTAAGTGACTATATTAGAAAATAAGGAAGATTTCCAGTTTAAAAAATTAAAAAGAGCAACGAATTAAAAACATAGAAAGTAGGGGCGCCTGGGTGGCTCAATAAGTTAAGTGTCTGCCTTCAGCTCAGGTCATGATCCTGGGGTCCTGGGATGGAGAGCCATGTGTTGGGCACCTTGCTCAGCAGGGAGTCTGCCTTTCCCTCTCCCTCTGCCCCTCCCCCCACTCATGCTCTTGCTTGCTCTCTCTGTCTCTCTCAAATGAATAAATAAAAAATCCTTTTAAAAAACCACAGAAAGTAGAATGAAGGAAATAGTAAGAATATATAAAAAGCACACATACACTAAAGAAAAATCAACAAAACCAAAAGTTGATCTTTGGAAAAGATTTTAAAAATCCATAGTCCTCTAGCAAAACTGATCAAGAAAGCGAAAACACAAATTATCAACATCAAGAATGAAAAGGGGGCATCACTATAGATCCTAAGGCTACTTAGAAGATTGCATGAGCTTATTAGGTACATCGTTGTGCCAGTGAGTTTCACAGCATATATGAAATGGACAATCTTCTTTTAAGCCATAACTTACCAAAAGTGGTACAAAAGGAAGTAAAAGGTTTGAATAGTCCACTATCTATTCCAGAAATTGAATCTGTAATTTAAAATCTCCACACAAAGAAAAGAGCAATAGGAATCTATTTAAAGAGATTTAGGTAGAAAACTGACAAGATCAGATTCTATTTTGAAAAGACCACTTTGCAAAGTGGAGAAAAGATTGAGAGTGATAAAAGTAGATGTGGAAAGAGTAGTTAAAAGACAATTGCCAGTGGTTGTCAGGCACTAGGGAGAGGGAGGTATGAGTAAGTGGAGCACAGAGGATTTTTAGGGCATTGAAACTATTCTGCATGTTACTATTATGATAGATACATGTCATTATACATTTCTAAAAACCCATAGAACATACAAAACCAAGAGTGAACCCTAAAGTAAACTACGGACTTTGGGTGATACTGATGTATCAATGTATGTTAATCAGTTATGACAAATGTACCACTCTGGTTCAGGATGTTGATAGTGGGGGAGGCCATGCATGTAGTTTGGGCAGTGGGCATATGGGAACTCTGTACTTCCTATTCAATTTTGTTGTGAACCTAAAATGGCTTTTAAAAAATTACTTTAAAAAAAAGACAATTGCAATAGTTCCGGTGGAAGTTGGTGGCTTGGAGCAGAATGGTAATAGTAAAAATAGAAGAAAAGAAGAACATTGAAGATTGAAGGAGCATGGAGAATCTTTGAAGTATGAGTTGTAGAAAGTGAACTAACCAATAAAGTATAATGGACTTAAAGGACAGTGGTAAAGGGCATTTTAAGAAGAGAAACATGAATTTATAGTGAAAACAATATACCTTGTTGCATGACTTTCTGCTACAATACTTGGCTGTTTGAGTGCAGGAGCAGAGAAAGTCAAGAGTTAGGATCATCCAGAATTTGGATTTTGTAGATGTGTTTGACCAGAAAGTCAGAAATAAGAATGTGTTCAAATGATGGATTATGGAATCTAAGATGGATACAAAACAAGGGTTTATGGGTTGGAAGAAAGCAGAAGTCAGTAGACAGGAAGACCTGCTGTAAAATACAGGCACGAGTGAAAGAAAAGGAGGATACAGTCAAAGAGTATGATGTCTGAATCTATGATTTTGGAGGTAAAGCATTTTCAGTAGCAATTATAGATGATGAAAAAGCCGAAGGTATAATGATAGCAGTGGATGGCCAAAGTGGAATGGAAGAAAAGATGAGTACAGATTATATGGCAAAGAACTAAGTAGCCAAGGTGTTAGAATATGCCAATCGGCTGCAGATGATGGTGAAGAACATGAGCCTGGGAGATACTGCCTGATTTTCCTACACACATTTTTGCAGAAATTCAGGCCCTAAAGGGATGTTGAAAGTCATCAGTCCTTTGGCCTTCTGACTCCAGCTGTTTGCCTTTCAAGAACATCCATCTCATTGTGCAGGGCTCTTTTCTATAGCTGGCTCACCAAGATCTGCTTTCCAGTCTGGCTCCTGATAGCCAGTCCCAACATTTTAAGATCATGAAGGCACATAAGAGGTCAAGGCAGTGTTGGATGCATGCACAGTGATGGCACAGTCAATTCAATTCTGTCTCCTGCTTCATAAAAGCACTAGAAAGGAATTGGGGCCTTTCACATGGTAAATTCTGGAAAACTCTGTCCTTCTCCCTAGAGTTGAGTTGCTATCTGCACCTGACATGGCCACACGAGTCAGTAAGGGGACACGTAAAAAGATGTCATGAGAATAATGGGAGCCAGTTTTCTCACTATTAAAGAACGGAGTCACAACATGGAAAGGGTTAGAAAAGACAAAATGAACTCTGTGGCATTCAATTATAATTGGAAGTATTAATATGAATTCATGGTTTTAGATAGATGATAGATAGATTTGAATAAAATTAAAATCCATACATGCACACTGATATAAATATATGAATAAATAAATAAATGGTAGAAAAGGTAAGGCTCTTTCTTAACACTACAATACCAACCGATAAACACAGAAAGAACCCTGGAGTTAGAAAATCAATGGGTACCTTTGAAACCAATATAAGACATTATATGTTAATTAATTGAATTAAAATTTTAAAAATATTTAAAAAAAGAAAATCAATGGGTACTAAAATTAGTGAGCAAAAGTTTGATGAAAAACAAGATATTTACACAGACTTAAAGTATCTGTTTACAGATTATGTGCTAATTACAATGGGAAGAAGATAGTAACTCTATACTGGAGAAATTTAGTAGATTTTGAGACCATCTAAACCAAGTAATCAAAATTAACATCACAACTGGGACAACTGATATTGTGTGCATCCTGATATAAAGCACTGAAAAGGATAACACATCACTTCTGTAGTATTCTGCTTAAAGATGCATAACCTAAATCTAACCATGAGGAACATGGGATAAATCCAAATTGAGGCACCATCTACCAAATCACTGACCTGAATTCTTCAAAAAATATTCAGGTAAAGAAAAAACAAAGAAAGTCTGAGAAACTGTTCCGGATGAAAGGCACTAAGGAGACATGACAACTACCCATAATATGTGATCCTGGATTGGAAATTGGCCTGGGGAAAATTAGCTATCATGTATTTTTGACCATTGACAAAATTAAAATATGGACAATAGTTTCATATTATTGTATCAATGTTTAATTTTCTAACTTTGATAATTATACCATAGTTATATACAAGAATGCATTTTTTAGGAAATACACACTGATGTATTTAGAGATAAAAGGGCAGAATGTCTACACCTTACTCTCAAATGGTTCAGAAAAAATAATATACAAAAGCTTATAAACAGAGAATGAAAAGTAATTGGGCAAAATGTGAACAATTGCTTAATCTGGGTAGGGTATGCAAGAATTCCTTGAATTTTTCTTGCAGCATTTCTGTAAGTTTGAGGTCATATCAAAATCAAAAATTACCCAAAAATCATGGACACATTCTACCTTGGGTCAATACCCATCTTCTTATTTCCATACTTCTAGTTAATCAGCTCCCCTAAGTTTGAGCCTGTTTGGCTCCCAACTTTGAAGTTAGCTCTCTGTTTAGCATCCTGGATCATCAAACCAGTGTGGATTGCCTATTCTAGCTCTGACATTGGTCCCCCTTCTGGATTCATCTCTCATTATTTTACCATCAGCTCCAAGCATCAAAACCACACGTAAGAGAAACACCAAATCATAACATCTCATCTGATCCCCGGGATACATCCTGTCCACGGTGAGCCACATATCTCCCATTTCCTCCTTTCCTTTATTTTCTCACTTGTACAGGGCTCAGGATGTAGCAGGTGTTTGATTCATACCTGTTGGATTGATTTGAACTTGCCTGCTTCATAGATGTGAAGAAATCTTTTATTACTTTCCTAAAATTCCCACTCTCATGAGTCTGAAGGAACCAGAGACAGTCTCTGTGAAACATTTATGGACTCAAAGCTCAAGGAGGAGCCAAGATTTTAAATGGTTTGGGAGGAATCATCCTCATCCCTGCCTTATTGACACACTGCTCCCTTAAACAAACCATCCAAGGACTCTTTAAACATAATTGGTGGGACTGGGGAAATCACCATTTTTCTTATGCAAGTAGTAATTACAAGATGACTTTTCTAGGCCTGGCAACTGGAGATTTTGAATGATTATGGGATAGATACTTAATAATAATCATAATAGCTACCATTTTATAAAGAAGCTATGTGTCAGGAAATGTGCAAGATGCTTTATGTGTATTATCTCTTTTCATCCTCATGCCGACCCTGGGAAGTACTTCCTTTACAAATAAGGAAAGTTAGGCTCAGAGGGGTTAGGTGACTTACCCAAGTTAAAATAGCTCTTAAGTGGGTAGAGCTGGAAATTGAATCCTTCATGTCTCTTTGCTTTCAGAGCCCATACTTCTGCCATAGCATCATATCAAGCCAGTAGCAACCCTGCAGTTTCTCCACACTGACTTGTTAAGGGGTCTTCCTAACAGCTGATGTTAGTTACTTTGGAGAAAGGATTAATTTTAGTGGGAATGTACATAAACCAGGGTTTCTCATACCATTTCAAACATATCACTTGCACCCGATTTGATGGACTTAATGTCTCCAAAACCTCCAGAGGGGAACTTTTTCAGCCACACCCAATCACCCTAGAAAGAAAAGGCAGAGAGGAATGATCAGACTTAGTTGCCAACAGCTTTAGAGCAATGTCCCTTCCACACGAAGGGTTTATAATCAGACCATCAACTCAAACAGGTTTTGTTCTTCCTCCATCACCCTCCACCACATGGACATTGTGTATTTGAGCTAAAAATGAGGTCATGCAGGGACACCAGGGTGGCTCAGTTGGCTAAGCATCAGACTCTTAATTTCACCTCAGGTCATGATCTTAGGGAAGTGGGATCAAGCCCAGCATCAGGCTCCACGCTCAGCGGAGAGTCTGCTTGAGATTCTCTCTCTCTTTCTCCCTCTGACCCTCCCCCGCTCACTCTCTCTCTCTGTCCCAATAGGTAGATGGCACAGATAAATCAAATCTTTAAATATGAGGTCATGCAGAGAAGTGAAAGGTAAAAATTCCAATTAACTAAAGACAGGAAACCATTGCAGGTATGCAGGCCCCAGAAAGGGAATGATACCACTCTGCAATGACTCCCTTCACTAACTGCAGAAAGTGCTAGGTCATTTCACTTATTCATAGCTAAGTGACATAGCACCAGGTTCCCTGCGATTAATGATGATGGTTGGTGGTTGCAATTCTTACTGCCTTGAGGCATCCATGGTGGGAGATGTAAGGCCGGAGATGTAATGCAGCAAATGTTTTCTGCATTTACCTTGCTCCATTTTTCTCTTGTGGGACAGGCCATTTTGGGGGCCTCTTATGCTTCAATCATAAACCAATTGGCTTCAATGTAGATTAAACATTTCTTATTTGGATGCACAAATGTACTACCGTAGTAATACAAGTAATCTGGACTCTTTCAGAAGTCTATTTCTGACTTTTTAAGTCCAAAGCAGCTATTTCTAAGGCTGCTGTCAAGTCAAAAACAACAATTATTTTATTGTCTTCACTTTAACACCAGCACCTGATAGATAATTTTCTTCTCCTTGCATAGCCCAAGGATTCATCAGTCATCAAGCCCTATTTAGCTTCTGTCCGACCCAAATTTTTTAAAAAAGCAATACAAATATAGATTCCTTTTTCTCCCTGATAATAATAATGCCTTGCATTTGCACAGTGCTCTTCACCCTTCAAAGTGCTTTCATATCTATTACCTATAGCCTGGAGATTCCATTTCAGCCTGCACCAATTTGTCATCAGGTAGAGATAATAAAGCAGAGAGCTCTGTGCAGTCAAATTCCAAGAATAAGAGAGTGTAACCACTCTCTTATTAAGGAATATATCCAGCTGCGGCACTGCATCTGGAGACCTGCCAGAGGCAAAGGCTAATAACGGGAGCTGCGAACATCTGAGTTACACGCCCGCACTTTGGGTTAGAGGGCATCTTCGAGCCAAGGAGCTTGGAACCCTTTAACTAGGGAATGGCTCTCAGAGGACTTCAGCAGCTGAACAGAACTGGGCCAGCCAGGTTCAGTGCCCACAGAGCCCACCAAGGCTAAGTCCAGGATCTGCGCCTGCCTGTAGCAGAACGGTCAAGCACGAAAGGCAGCCTTCCTGGTCTCTTGCTCAAAAATTCCCTGAGCGTGGCCCCGGACCAGCTGCATCACGGTCACCCGGAAACTGGTTAGAAAGGCTGAGTCTCACGCTCCAACCCACACTTAATTCCTTAATCACCGAAGTCATGAGGGCCAGACACGAGCTCAAAGTTTTAGCCTTCAGAGGACTTTGCCCTTTAGTGGGATCAAAGCCAAGGTTTAAGCTGAAAGAAAAAAAAAATTCTACCTGGGAATTCACAAAAGCAACAAATGTGTGGGAGATAGTGGTAGGCAATAAAGCCTCTCCAAGCACCTTTGCAACCATATTACTTGGCCATGGTCACTACGAGCTGTAATGGCACCTTCGTGCTAATTAGAAAGGGTGCTTTCCCTCGAGGAAAAATAAATAAATAGACAGACAGACAGACAGACATGTGAGAATATTATTTTACAGCCTGTGGCAGCCCTGCCCTGTTGGGCAGCAGCCCTGGCTGTATACATATGTGCGGGTACCACACTCTCATTTACTCATACATCCTCCAGATACCAGGGAACACATTCCACTCACAGCATGGCTGGTCTGCATACCACCGAGCCCTGCCTGCCAGGTGGAGCCTCTTTGTCAGGTTTGGAGTCAGGCTATAGAGGTGGAGGAGAGAAGCTGAATTTGGACCCCCAAGAATATTGGGCAGGAGAAAGGAGTAACTTCAAAAAAACTCCTGGGGAATAGTCAAGGTAGCGTATAATCAGGTGCGCATATGTTTACCAGTGACTATGTATGTGCATAGTCGAGTGTGCTAGTATAAATGTAGATATGAGAAGTAGCCCCCTCCCCTCCCCCCGATCTCATTCCCAAACTAGGCTGGGAGGTCAGAACCTCTTTGCCCACTCCTGCACCTCTAAGTTAGTACATGTCTATAATGTGAATAGCACCATCTTAAATATGGTGCCCTTGTGCAGTGCACAACCTGAACATCAGGACTGGCAGCCCTGACTCTGCCTCTAGCCAGTACCTGACACTTTCTTCCTGGAGTCAGCCTTATTACAGACAGGGGTTAGCCTTCTCTCTGGCTTATTAACTTTTAGAGGTAATTAAGCCAAGCTTTTTTTTCCCAGCCAAATCACCAAATTTGAGAGCTGGAAAGGGTCTTGGGTATCCCTGTTCTAATCCCTTCATATTTTGATAAAGAAACTGAAGTCTGAAGAGATGAAGTGACTTGTACAAGGTCAGAAGGCTAGGTAGTAACAGAACCGAGGTCTTCCACTTTCCACTTTATTGCTCCTTTCTCTCATGGCTTTCTTTGGTTTGGGGGATTTGTGTGAATTTATTTTAAGATTTAAATAATTCTCACAAACTTTATAAGCAAATTTTTATTGAGTCTGTGTGTGTCCTACTTCATGAATAATGAGGAAGAGGAATAATGAGGAAGGGCAGGTTTTATCTTCACCACACATACATTATTTGTTTTGTTTTTTCTTTTAAGAGAGTGAATGATAAAATACTTCATCATTCACTTTTTAATTAAGAGGAAGAAACATCAAACTCTATCCACTAAAGTTTTTAGAAGTAATTTAAAGTCCATCAGTTTTGCACTAAGGCCATGGAGCCTTAACTAAGAGTCAAGAGAACTAGGTCCCGGACTGGACTGTGCCTCAAATTCAGGGGTGGCCTTCGAGCAGCCACTTTGTTGGCCTGAGCCCCAGTTTTCTAATGGACAGAGCTGGACAATTCTGTGATGAGCGAGGTGGTTGGTGGAAAGGATAGGGGGATGGAGACAGAGTTATATGAGATATAGAAGAAGGTGGGAACATAGAAGAAAAAGGGCTCTGGGAAAAGAATATGAATGGGGAGGGTATGCGGTGAGTGGGGAGAGAGAATGGAGATAAGAAGGAAAACATAGGGAGAGGTTGAGACGCAGAAGGAGTCAGAGATGAAGAGGGAGGGTAAGTTCAGTGGGTTCTCGCTGAGCATATCAGTGTTGTGTTATTGCCCACCTCACCCCTCTCCCCTAGACTGTGGCTATTAGAGCAGATGGTGACATGTTCCCACGGCATCTGCTATTCCCAGTTCTCTCTCCCCAGCAGTCTGCTCATCTGACTTTCCTCTCTTCTCTCAAAGAGCATCTATGAAATAAGGGCCAATTTTCTGGTCCAGGTCCTAAGGTGATGCATCTCTGCATGGAATCGAAGTGGGAATCTGTATCAGTTTCAGACCATGTTATGGCACATCCTAGGGAAGCCTGTCCTTTGCTATTAGCTGTGCTACTCCAGGCACATTAGCTGGAACTTGCAGATCTTCCAGTAACAATTCTTATGAAAATCTGATTTATTTTAAACAGAAACTAGATAACGAATCTTCTTTAAAACGCTCCCAACAGAGGACCGTTTCAGAAGGCACACTGAACCTCTTTGTTTGATCTGTTGATTCAATTAACTTAGGCTCCTTCCCAGGCAGTTTTCCAGCTTTGGCTGTCTTCCCTCGCACCCCGCCATCAGCCTAATCTTGACTTCATGGTGTGGTATTATTCTCACTAACACCCTCCTTTTGTGCAGATAAAGGCCCCCTTTGGCCTATACAGTTCAGAAATACTCATGAGCTGACTGACCAACAGTCATTATGGGAACTAACTCAACTCTCTGCCTCCTCCCAAGATGAGGAAATATCTGACAGATTCTTAAAGGCCAGTTACATACAGATGTTTATTTTTTCCCTTCTCAATTCTACACTATAACCTTCTGTCTCCACCAAATAAAACATACTACAACTCAACACATAAATTCTTCCCCAGAATCAGAGAGCCATGGCATATCTGAGCCAGAAGAGGCCTTTGAGATCTCTTAGTCCAGCCATCCCCAGTCCTGGATGCACACATAGGGAAACTTGAAAAGAAGTCCAATGCCTGAACTCACCCCATACCAACCGAAGCAGAGTTACTAGCAGGGGAGGCTAGGCACAGGTATGTTTTTCACTTTCCCATGGAGATTCCAATGAGTAGCCAAGAGTAAGAACTTAGTTCAACCCCTCATTTTACAGATGAAAAACCAAGAGACTGCCTTATGTTACTGAGATTTATTTCAGAATCTTCGAGGTGTCAGTACATTCATAAAGCCATCAGCCCACTGCATTTGACATTCAAAAGCTATATGATTGTCTTGGATTTGCTCTTTGAGAGAACAGAGCTGTCAATTCCCCAATACCGCAAGTTTACATTTGAAGCAAATCTCGTTGATTAAATGAGCTTCAAGGCAAGATCTAGAGGTTTCCTGCTACAAATTTAAGTCAGAGTACTCAGGGACACTGAGCAAATATATACCATGCCAATCTTCGTGTTTTAGGCGTCTGTCAATTATTTGGCCAATGGAGAGCACTCACTTGGAAAATTCAATACGTTGGACAATCTAAAAACTCATTCTGTCCTGTTTTGGACTTTCTTTGTAGTTACTATTGAAGTTGAGAGTGTTTGCTGCTTTTGGGAGTATCTTCAAACAAAACAAGGAAACCACACTGGGAAGGCATCACTTGGGAGGGACTAGTTTCCCTCTTACCCCCTGCTTAACTCTTTCCTGCTGAGAAGAAACAGTTCATCTCTCCAACTGTTGCAAGATTTGTTCTGGTTGCCAAATTCCAGTATCTTAGAACAAGGGGTCAGGGGTGGCCTCTTTAAAGCTTGTAAGACAGAAATTTAAATGAAATTTTAAAAAAAGAGATTTCTATTTTACACAGCAGAAGGTCACCTGTTACTCCAAAAGGCAGCAGCACAGGCTGAGAAAAAAAGAAAGAATCTTTAAAAGATTTTAGTAATATCAGAGGATAACGGGTATAGAAGAACAACTAAAATTTGAAGGGAGGGATTTGCCCCAAACTCTACACAAACATGTTTCTAGACATTCCATCACAAACAGGTGACTCGGGAAGTCATTTCTTCTATTATTATACCCATATCTTCTAGAACGAGTGACATGGTTAAGTGTATGGATCCGCTGACTTTTTTTCACATGCACAATAAATAGATGGATTTGAAACATCAATGAAATTATAAGTAAGTAGATTAGTTGCTGAGGAAAATCATTGTCCAAAAGGTCATCCAAACAAGTCCATGAGTGGATAACGAACAAAAAACTGGAAAGACTTTCCAAAAGCCTCAATGCTTTCACCCAAAGACTAAGTCTTAAATCACTGTCTCATTTTAAAACTCAAGAGGGCAGCAGATTAGATAGCTGTTGGATATCCTACCTCATAAATTGCTATGTTGGAGTTTTCATAGGTAGCTGGAGTTAGACTCCCTGACGAAAAGGAGAGCCTTGGGGATCTCCCACTTTGGACTTCTGAGGTGATCTGGAAGCTTACACTGGCACGACTTCCTCTCTGTGAAAAGATTAGGAAAAAAGGTTACAAACAAAACTCTCATGATTTAGGACAAAGCACTGAACTGTGGTATAGATACTGTGCTTATCTGGCTTTTCATTTTCTTTTTTTTTTTTTTTCCTCGGAGAGTAACTATATGAGCTGAACTTTGTAAACATGAGATTAATTTACCTATCCCCCAGCACAACTTTTTTTAGGCTAGGGTTGCTATCATGCTTCACCTCCATATAACACAAAAGAAAGGTAAATATTCGCAGGTACCTCTATCTCTTAGAAAGGATTAGAATCAGAGTTTTGGGGGACACCTGAGTGGCTCAGTCGGTGAAGCATTTGCCTTCAGCTCAGGTCATGATCTCAGGGTCCTGGGATCGAGCCCAATGCTTCTCCCTCTCCCTCTGCCCCTGCCCCCTGCTTGTGCTCGCGGGCACGCTCTCTCCCTCTCAAATGAATAAATAAAAAATCTTTTAAAAAAATAAAAGAATCAGAGATTTGGGGTGCCTGGGTGGCTCAGTCGGTTAGTTGGCTGCCTTCGGCTTGGGTAGTGATCCCAGGGTCCTGGGATCGAGTCCCGCATCAGACTCTCTGCTTGGCGGGGAGCCCCTTCTCCCTCTCCCTCTGCCTGCAGCTCTGCCTGCTTGTGTGCTCTCTCTCTCTC